GTGGTCTGAGAAGTGTTTTTCTCAGTGGCACCTCTAGAGGGCAGCACTCAACCGAGTCACATAGAAACCTACCAGCGTTTCCTGTTCAAACACCAGAAAAATGTCATTTTAATCCTGTGAAATGCTTGTTTTTCTATGTGGTCTGAGAAGTGTTTTTCTCAGTGGCACCTCTAGAGGGCAGCACTCAACCGAGTCACAGAAACCTACCAGCGTTTCCTGTTCAAACACCAGAAAAATGTCATTTTAACCCTGTGAAATGCTTGGATGTTCTTCTGGATGCTCCCACCTCTCATTTTAATCTCCTACTTACTTATCTGCATCCTCACAGGTATATGGGACTGCCCGAGGGCAAGGACCATGTCTGTTTTTTTCACTGGGTATCCCCAGGACCTAACACAGAACCTAACCTACTAGGTTCTCAACGAGATAATTGCTGAGTGAATGTTCTCACTCTTTCACATGCCGTTTATTGTAATCCACTCCCTACCCACACTCATGGTTTATATTTCACATCTAATCACATTTAGTTTCATTTATATTTTGCTTTGTTATGTAAATTTATAGCATGAATTAAAAACACACAGAAAATACTATGACCTTTGTTTCAGTCACCCAGCTTTAATAATTAACAACATGAGCCTATCTTGTTTCATCTATATGTCCAGCCTCTCTCCCCATCTGGATCTATTATGAAATAAATCTGAGGTATCATTATCTCATCCTAAATACTTCAATGTGCAACTCTAAAACATAAGAATTACTTAAAAAAATAACATCACACCTAAAATCACACACAAAATCACGCTAAAAAATTATCAATAGTAACTCTTTAATATCATCTAATATTCAGTCAATATTCAGCTTTCTAATTGCTATATAAGTGTCATCCATTATATTTTATAGTTTGTTTAAATCCAAATCTAAATAAGGTCCATACAGTGTGATTAGTTGACGTTTCTTTTTTTTCTTTTAAAAATATCTTTTAATTGTTTATGTGCTCTCTCATGGGCAGCTATTTAAAATTTTCATTTGGTCAAATCAATGCATTCTTTCCTTAAAAACTGGGGATATTTTTATTTAAGACAAGATTATTCACAGGTCATCTAGTATGGAAGTCTCCTGAATTAGAAAAGTACTTTGACTATTATATTATGACCAAAGGCAGAAACAGATGAAACAAGATTGGCTTGAACTGGTAATTATTACAGATGGGTGACTGAAACAAAGAGGATCATTGTATTTTCTGTGTATTCTTATACATGCTATAAATTCACATAATAAAAAAGTAAAATATAAATGAGTACAAAACTGTGCTATCTACCCTAAGTGAATCATTGTGTAGTATATGCATGTATTGAAACAACACACTATACCCCACAAATATATAGAAATAAATGTTAAAATATTTAAAATTAAAAAAATACATAATAACATACAACTTTATAAAAAAGTAAAATACATATGAGACTAAATGTGTTTAAAGTTAAAATATGAACCATAAATGAGTGTTGGGAAGGAGTGGATTAACAAACGTCATGTTTAAAAGTGAGTACATTCGGGCCGACCCTGTGGCTCACTCGGGTGAGTGCGGCACTGGGAGCGCAGCAGAGCTGGGAGCGCCGAGGCTGCGGGTTCGAATCCTATACAGGGATGGCCGGTGCTCTCACTGGCTGAGCGTGACGCGGGCAACACCAAGCCAAGGGTTACGATCCCCTTACCGGTGACACACATACACACACACAAAAAAGTGAATACATTTATTCAGCAATTATCTTGTTGAGCACCTAGTGGGTACCAGGTTCTGATTAGAAAAGTATAG